ATAGATAGATAGATAAAGGAAGTGGGAAAGGTACAGAGAAGGGCAACAAAATTATTAGGGGTATGAAACAGCTCTGTATGAGGAGAGATTAAAAAGACTGGGACATTTTAACTTGGAAAAGAACACTAAGAGGGGATATGATAGAGCTCTATAAAACCTTGACTAGTGTGGAGAAAATGAATAAGGAAATGTTATTTACTCCTTCACAAGAACTAGGGGTCATCCAACGAAATTAGTAGGTAGCAGGTTTAAAACAAACAAAAGAACATAACTTCTTTACACAACGCATAGTCAACTTCATTGCCAGGGGATGTTGTGAAGGCCAAAAGTATAACTAGGTTCAAAAGAGAACTAGATAAGTTCCTGGAGGATTGGTCCATCAGTGACTATCAGCCATGATGGGCAGGGATGCAATGCCATGCTCTGAGTTTCACTAGCCTCTGTCAGAAGCTGGGAGTGGACAATAGGGGATGTGTCACACAATGACCACCTGTTCTGTTCATTCTCTCTGAAGCCCCTGGCACTGGCCATTGTTGGAAGACAGGATATTGGGCTAGATGGAACTTTAGTCTGACCCAGTCTGGCCATTCTTATGTTCTTAATAATTCCCATGCACTGTTTGAAACCCAAACATTGCAGCTCTAAGACCCCTGAATAAACAAAAGTTTTCAGTCTAAACTGGGAGACATTTAAAAAGTAAACTGGGTTTCTTAAATTTTCACTTAATCTAAGGGCTTACAAAGCAACATAGGTAAATACATTTTTTTTTTAAATCAATCATACTTAATCTGGATTTTTAAAAACCTATTATTGTTACAAGCATCATCCAATAGGTTACTATCACAGAAAGAGATTAGGAGGGAAATTATGTATCTGTTTTTTGCAGTTTATTATGTGCATTTGACAACATAGTCAGTTTCACTGTTTCCCCAGAGAGTTGTGCAGGATCCCCCCACAGCAACAGGGGAAAGAAAAGTTCTTTAAAAAAATAAAAATTAAAAATGAAACTATGATTGTAAAACTATAAAAAAGTTATTAGGAAGAATCAGTAGTACCTGAAAACCCTTAAAAAAATTGACTAGCTTTTAAAGTTGATAGCATCCTTTTAATCTTTCCTTGCCATGAATTTGATTTTTGCTTGCATAATGCCCATTGCCAGCAGTGGATGGATTGAATGTCTGGGAATTAAAAATTGAGTGTGAGCCTTAACTTGGAGTTTCCTCGATTTGGTCACCTGGTCTATGTTTTATAAAGCATACCCCTCTCAACTAAGTTTACTTTCTACACAAGGCCAATAGGTTCCAGACTCCTCCAGGTATCCACTGATGTAGTTAAATCAGCTGTTCAAATAAGGCTCAGCTCATAAGTGTGTCTGTTAATTAGGCAGACTAAATTTAAAAGGACTCCAGCTATAAAGTTACCGTTCAAATTTCAGACAAATGAAAATGATTCAGATTTGGAAGATTAATATTTACAAGTTCAATGCATCATTAATATCATTGCAGCATGTATTTCTTTAGTGAAAAACAGTGCAATTATGTGCAAATAAATTAAGCATACTCCTAAATAACGTAAATTATGTAGAGCTAAGAATTTAAGATATGTAGTTTCGTGGCCTTTTAAAAACTTTGAAAGAAAAGAACACATCAGAAACAAGCCTATTAAGAAAATTTTCTTTGATTCTTCATTCAGCACCATATGAATATTCTTTAGAACAGAAGTGTCACTTTCTCAAAGCTTATAAAGGCTGGCTTTACATGGAAGATTTCAAGGAAACATCATGGAATTGGGTGGGAAGCACAGCAAACATAGATCTACATAAACATCTGTCACAAGAAACTGAATAAAGCATAACCTTTTCTACTAAACACAGAGGCTGAATTAAGGACCCACTGAGAAACAAAGTGGCACGCTATGACAGATCAACAGAAATTGCAATTTTGCTGGTCACTTTCAAACTGCAATGTGATTGGAATCTCTCTCCCACCCCACCCATTGCCCCAACATTACACAAAACTTAACAGTTTCATTCTCTATGCACAAGACACACAACAAAAATTTCTAAAACCAAATGAAGCAGGCTGAATTCAAACAGCTGAAGGTCACTGCAGTATTTCCCACAGCTCTTAAATCCACTGCATACATGCCTTCACAAGAGCACTGATTTTCCTCTTCTGAAGGTCTTCACAATTTCAGAGTTCACTAGTACATGCCTCAACATAGTTCTACAGTGTTTCTCTGATAAGCTAAATCACCAGAAAGATGCATTGTAACACACTATCCAGCACCATATCCAATGAATATTCCAAGTCTAGTGGCCTCTAATATTTACACTGAAGCGGCACCTCTCTGCCAGAATGACCATAGAGAGCAGGATGTCATACTAATGAAAAGTTAGGATGACTATTTACATTCCTACCCCACCTTCATTATGCAACTCAGTCCTCAGTTGTCAAAACTATGAGGACTCCTTTTCAAATGTTCTTACACAAAGTCCTTTGCTCGTCTGATAAGCAGATATCAGAGAATACCATCGTGAACTTGGGTTGGCTGGGCAGAAACAGAAGTAATCAAAAAGACCACCCCCCCCATGGGATTATAGATAGGATTTTCAAAAGTGCTTATGTGATCTAGAAGCCCACCCTATGGGCCAGATTTTCCAAAGTGTTTAGCACCCAAAATTGAAGTTGGATGTTCAGGAGAGCTCAGTTCCCATTTAGGGTCCTCAATGAAGTGGCCAGGGCTCTTTTGTAGATCCAGACACTCACTCAGGTGCCTAAATATGAGCTGCTGGTAGTCGCTTAGTTCTTTGGAAAATCTGGCCCGAATATTAATTTGCTGTGCTGATGAAACTATGACATAATTGTTCAGACACCAACTCCAATGTATAAACAATAGGAAAAAAGGACTATTGGAGAGGTTTTGTAACAAACTAGAAAACAAATACAAATAGCTTATTTTTAACAGTACGTTGCTCCCCTCAATTTAAGTTACAGAAAATAAACCCAGCAAGAAATGAAATATCTTCCAGAAAGAGAGCGCTCAAAGTAAGACTTTAAGTTTTGGGGAGACATTTCAAACAACTCTATTTACCTTTGATTTTTTTTTTTTTGGTTGGATTTTTTTTTTTTGCTACTTTGCTAGTAATTCAAGATAAACAGAGGCTTGTTTCATTTTTATTCATCCTCTTTGATCTTGCAATGAAGTCATGCTGCCGCATTTGTGATATCAGAATCACTTCTGTACAAGTAGATTGTGATATCACACCAGGATTATTGCCTTGCTACAGGATGAAGCAAATAAAGAAGCTGAACCGTGGGGCAGAATGTTCTTATCCAATATGTGAAATAATAGCACGAGGTATACAGAAAATGACTGGTTAAATCATCTGCTTTTTATATAAAAATGTTCCATTTTATGTTTGCTCAATGTAAAGTCTTCTTTAAAACATAAGAAAGGAAAACTGTCTTTTTAACTGAGATGATCTTCCTGTGTCAGTGATGTCTGTCTGCGATCTTCTGTTCTAGCACTTGATCCAGAAAGTGAGGCCCAAATGCAATGCTTTTCATTAAACATTTACGAACAAGTTAGAACGTACTATCTCCGTACAGTATGCACCTTCACTGCACAGAATCCTTCAATATTGTAACTTCTTTAGCCTTAAGTTTAGCAGTAGCTTACCCAAGAGCTCTTTACAGTTTCCCAGCTAATTTCATAGTCTACCGCAATTTGGTACTGGACAGGTAAATTAAATAAAGTAATCTCACCTCCTTCAAAAGCCAACTTGTATCTGTCCAACAAGGAAAACGCAGAGTCCAAGTTGGAATTTTAACAAGAGACAGTACCTGGATGAATTCATAAGACAATGAAAGGGTACAAACCATTATAGGAATCATCAAAGACTATTTTTGATTATATAAGAAGAAAAATCTCATTAGGAAAGGGGAAGTCTGCATACAGGGAGTCTCTAATTTTACAAGGGGGTCTCACCTGGCTTCTTCAAAAACAGTTTGCAGGGATGGTGTTATATATGTAGTCCAGATTTTTTTTTGGAATTGTACTTCAGCTAGATCAGCGGTAAATCTGACTATTTAATCTACTAAAGAAACCACTTTTCTAGATTGCTAGGTTATAACTTCTACTTTAAATGGTTGAAAAGAGGTGGGCAGTGCACTTAGTCTTGCTTCAGTAACCAGTGCACTTTGGACACTATTTTACTAGATCATAGAATAAATATTCTGTGTAGTTCTCAGGCCTGGACTACTGTCTAATGGGCATCAAAGATAGACCAGAAGAATCACAGCCCAAGCTCTCTTGTTCTCCAGGGATGGAAATGCAGTGAAAACTGCCCAAAAATAGAAGCTTGCTCTCTAAGTACATATATGAACAAACATGTGTGAAGATTCTCTACTAAATATGCTTCCCTCTGTAGCATATTTGTTATCCTGGTAATTTACCGTGGTTTCCAGGTCAAATCCTATTCTAAAGTTTTAAGATTAAACAAACAGTTAGAATTTACAGTTTCAGATAGGACTTTCCTAGCATAAGAGGGACAAGATTGCAAAACAGTTTAGAGAAGTCCAAGGTTAAGGATGAAAACTACATTTATTTTCTCCACATCTCTTCCTAGAAAGATGATGGTTGGCCCCTTGAGACCAGGATTGAGGGACCATGGCAGCATTGTGAGAGGAAACTCAGTATCAAATGTTCATGATGATCCTTCACCTGCAAAGAGCGTAATCCTTCCCTCATAGCCAGGGTACAGAAGCACAACACGTGATTGCAAGGAGACAGCCTCTGCTCTCCCAGGATAGAAAATTCCCTCAGAATTCTAGTGCACAGCACTGAAAAGTTAAAAAATATTTCAAAATTCCAAAATCCAGTTCTTCCCACCTGTTCTATCAAAACTGGAATTTAGTAATAAAAAACACACAGTTCCACAAAACTGGTTAAATATGCAGTTTTCTGCTGCAGAATGACCTATCACGGGGGAGACACTTTAAATCCGCCAACCCTCCTTTTGTTACTACATAAGTGCCTCTCGGTCTGATAAGCTTCTATGGATCTCCTGCTTATCATCAGCATCATCATCATCAGCTGGATCATTTTCCTCACCAGATTCGACATATATAGGCCAATCATTGTCTGTATCACCCTTTTCTTGACCTTCTGATGAAGGTTCCATCAGACTGAGGTTAATGGGCATTGAATCCTCATGCGTAGTCGTTACACAAGTGCAGCTGTCACACAAGCCAAAGCGCCGTAATCCCTGCGATAGGCTACTTGTGAACGTTCTTCTGCAACCCTTGCAGATAATTGGCTTGTTTGATCGGTGCACCTGATCAATGAGAAATAGAACATCATTGTAAATTGGCTGGCCTATCTTGCTGTTTTATTCCTTTTGGGGGATGCTGCTTCCATATATTCCAAGATGAAACACACAACAGCATTTACCAAACTTGCAGGGCAAATGATCACATCACCTTTCTAAGAACAAAGGTTTTGGACTAAAACAGTTGTATTACATTAAATGTCAATTTCTTAGTCTTAAACCATTGCCCAGTTAACCTTACATATTGGGAGCAGAATCATTCTATCCTCTACTGTACTTTAGAACAGCCTTATATCAAAATGTGATACATATACATTATTTACACAGATCAGCATAATGACTGAGAAACACTGAATACAGGAGTTTACTATTTATTTTTAAGTCTGCTTCTGACAGATATCTGCTTTTATCAAACTTACACTCAGAGCATGACTCCGAAGGTGCTCCTGCCGGGTGAAGCGTTTGCCACACGTCTCACAAGGGTAGGGTCTCTCCCCTGTATGAGAGCGAATGTGCCGTTTTAGTATTCCCTTCTGCTTAGCCGTGTAGGGACAGAACGGGCATTTGTGGAGCTTGATTGGCACAACTAACACATCACCTTTTAAAAAGAAAACAATATATTTTAGACAATTCAACAAAGTTAGCTAGGTTGCTCGTTACAATCCTTGCCTGCAAGCTAGGGCCAGAATACTTACATAATTTTTCCTCTTTGTATTTGGCTCGCTTGGATTTTAATTTTATGGTCTCTTTTTTAAAAGCTTATGGAGCTGCAGGTGCTTAGCACCCTTGAAAATCAGGCAGTTTTAAAATACATTTAATAAATTGGCAACACTGATTTCTGGTGTGATGTATTTGCTAGACTATGCTCAATATACGAGCCATTGAAATTTTCTTGTTATCTTCACGTTTATTTTTGAAAAAGGTGTCATATTAACAGCACTGGAAACTAAAGTCTTTAATTCAGCCATAGAAAAGTGCACAGGCAGTAGCAGTGCAAGTTTTCCAATATGCTATAATAATGGACCTCAATTTAGACATAGAGGGACCATCCCTAGAGGTAATTTATGCCTCTGTCCCCATTCAAGTCTTAGTAGGCTTTCTACTGGGACTAACAGGAATCTTTCATCTCTAATATATTTGCAGTTTGTGTTTTATTTTTTTCCAGTAAAATATGCCTAGATTCAGAATATACACATATAATTAAACATTGATAAATTCATGTGAGAAGATGCAAAAATTGAAAATTGTATTTGAAGATTACATTTTTAAATAAAAATGGGCATTACTGAGCTTCTTCATGGTAGCCAATACACGACAGACAAGAGATATCCTTTGTAACATGACTAGGATTGGGTGGTGATGTTAAGAGACTAAAAAGTGTGTGTTGCTTTATACATTGATTCAGGAAAGCACTTTAAACACATCCTTAATGTTAAGGTGCCCCACTGAAATGCATGATTAAAGTTATGCATACACATAATCCTTGAATGTACTGGAGCCTCAAAGATTAACTAAAATATTTTTCAATAAATCTCAAAATCAGTAATGACCCTAATAATTAATGTATAGACATGTACATATACATATATACATACACACACACACACACACACTTTCAAAAACAAGATATCTGAGACTCATTCCATAACTTTAGCTACCAGGACCGGAGTTCAGGGTTCTGTGTCTCCCTTAAAAAAGCTGAATACATCACAAGAACCTAAACCAGCATAAAGAATAGTTTTCTGTCCTACTTTAGGTGCTAGTGACGTCAATTCTTGTAAGAGAAACAGAACCTTGAATGCATGTTTAAAATACATATTTCTAGTGTTAAAAGTTTCTAGCAAATTCTGTTAATTATTGATGATTTTTTAATCAGGTTTTAGGTGTATTTTCACTTTTAATTCTAGATTAACAATTTGAAGAGTTTTATTTGAAAAAACATCAATGGAACATAATGTTATCCTATTAGATGTCTGCTATGCTACAGCATTTTGGAAGCAGTAGATGTTATTGTAACAGAATACTGCCATTAAATATTATTTCAGTTATGCTAACTGACTAATAGTTAATGATTTTATCAGATGAACATTGATTCACTACACAGTGAGAGTTCCTTACAGACCTGCTGAACTCTAAGGCCTGGTCCACACTAACCCCCCACTTCGAACTAAGATACGCAACTTCAGCTACTTGAATAACGTAGCTGAAGTCGAAGTACCTTAGTTTGAACTTACCGCAGGTCCAGACACGGCAGGCAGACTCCCCCGTCGACTCCGCATACTCCTCTCGCGGAGCAGGAGTACCGGCGTCGACGGCGAGCACTTCCGGGATCGATCCCAGAAGATCGATTGCTTACCGCCGGACCCGGAGGTAAGTATAGACCTACCCTAAGAGGCTTTAAGAACATACTTGTGTGCTTGAGCTAGTGATGGCATAAACATAGCTTTACTTTCTACAGCATACGCTATTTTTGTGAATAACTCCCATTGCCTGCATCATTTTTTTTTTAACTTGGCAAATTATGAATGGCTATGAGAACTGAGGTGCTCTTCAGGCAAGGAGTAGAGCCCACCATAAATGACAGTTTTGGAAAGGTAAACAGAGACAGTGTTCGGGAAAAGAAATAGTCTTCCAACTTTATTACAAGCAGATGAAGACCCAAAATCGTTAACGGCCATTTTAGGAAATGTGTATATTTACATGAGCTTTTTCTCCTTCAGGTCCCTGAAGGTGCTGCCACATAGCCTTCCTACTGGTGCTGAGAAATCCCAGCATGCATTTGGGCTAGTGAAAGCAGCAGCCCTGATGATCAGCAATGGAGAAGGAAGTCTGCCTCTAGAGGGAAAATATGCAGTGTAGTTAATATTCCGCCTCTCAGAGTTTATAGCATAACCAACATGGGGTTATCAGTTTGTCTTTCTGAATCCTTAACAACTCTTCTTCATAATACTAACAGTTATAAGAGGCAAAGTTTTTCTTACATTCATCCTTCATTCCAGTGTTGTCCCAAATTATGTTACCATTTAGTAAACTGGTGGTCACCAACATTAGACTCCAAAATACCTATTTCAAATACAAGTTTGTAGATCAGAAATACTTACCTTCCAAATGCTGCACTGAGCAAAATGAGTGCAGCTTTCTTTTGAAGTCCAGAACAATAGTTTATTTTGCTGTTGCATAAAATTCAGCAATATTTTCCTGTGAAATATACTGAACAAGAATGAGAATAAACTGTTCAATTAACATAGACAGTTATACAAATAAGCAGCTTCCTCATCTGTTATACAGACATTCTCTACAGCCTCAGGAATTCTCATCTCACCTGTATCCTCACCATACCAGTCGCTGTGAATGTCCATCATGGAACTCATGGCCACCCCTGCATCTTCTGGCCTACCCTCAAAGCCCCGAACAAAGTGATGAACCACATCATCTTTTCTTTGAGCCGCACTGCTGCGTAGCAGGGCCTCCAGGAACTGTTTCATATGATAGTTATTGCAGGCTAAGTCCATTGCCTGGCCACTGTGCAGCCCCTCTTCCATCTGCTCAAGAGATAACGGAGTTGGATACTGCTGTAGTCGTTCACCCACTTCTACTTCCACTTCATCAGAGTCAAATTCTACTTTTGGTTCTACTACCCCTTTGGGCAGAGAAGAATTAATGTCATCTGGAGAATCACTGCTTACAGGGTCTCTCACCACAAGTTCCATTGGGTGGCAGCTGCTACATTCACCACAGGGAGGATCTCTCTGACAATCAGAAATCCTTTCCTTTTCTTGCAGAGAAGAGACGGAGGCAGAGCACTGGCTCTTTGTACCATAAGAAGTGCCCTCTCTGACAGAACTAGAGCTTCCGCTATCAGCCTGATAGAAGGCAGCTTCTCTCTCTATTTTTCTGCAAATATCTAGCGATGACCTGATGTATGTTTTGCAAAAATTGACCACATCAGTCATCTGCAAGTAGCTAGCTGCGGACATGACTTCAATAACATTTTCTCCACAAAGATCCAGCTTCCCTGAATAAAGGAAATCTAGGATGACGGAGAAGGCCTCTGAAGTAACAATGTCCAAAGAAGCAGTGCTGTGTCGCCCACTGTCTTGAATGTAATGAATTAATAAGGCTCTGAAGTAGCCACTATTGGCAAAGAGAATGTTCTTGTGAGCTTTGAAGATCCTGCCTTCCACAATAATACTGCAGTCACAAAAAAAATCCCTCTTTCTTTGCTCATTGAGCTCTCCCAAGAGTTTCGTGTAATATGACTGCATCTCCATTTCTCCTATTGCTGCTGCTGATCACTGACAAGAAGAAACAAAGAGAGAACATTAGAGCAGAAATGATTCCACAAAGGGAGAAGAAATCAAAACCTATCACTGTTTTCCCTCCTTCCAAAAACAAACACCCCCCCTCCCCGCAACAACCTGGCCTACAGTCATATTCAGACTTGGGGGGGGGGGATTACAACCTGAAGTCACTGTAACATTCCAACTACGACAGTCCACGTCCAATTATTATTAGCATTACCGCAGCACCAAGGAGCCCTACTCATGGACCAGAAACCCATTGTACTAGGCACTGTGCAAACACAGAACAAAAGCATGGTCCTTGCCCTAAAGAGCTTACAATCTAAATAGAGTAGCCTCTGTCGTTTCTTAGTGGACAACATACTAGCTTGACAAATTTAGTATCCTATATCCCAACTCAGCCAACCTATCACAGACACATGGCAAAGATGCCGTGATTGTGTACAGTGCTCCAAAGAGTGAGAACAATTCTAAACTTCAGATAGTCTGAGATGGTATCTGCTTTTAATAACACTTCCACTAAAACGGATTCCAGGGTCAAATTACAACCTGCCCTGAGAAAAGGTTTTGAAGATACAGTTATCAAAGTTCACTTTTTTACTTATATACTAGTTGTCTCATTGGATGAGATTACATGCACCACCACCACCATTAATCCCTTGTTCTTTATAAAAAAAAATCAGACACTATTGTTTTTCTGATATTTGCAGTCAAGAGCGAAACTGGCATAGCTTGGTTGCTTAGGAGGACCACTGGCGGAAAAGCTCATGAAAACGGGAAAGGCTTAAAAAACAACAATACATTTTACTTATTTAACGCTTTCCACTTGAGAATGTCAGAGAACTTTACAAGCAGGAAGTCTCACAACGCTCCTGTGGGACTGGGCGCACTATCCCCATTTTACAGGTAGGGGAATTGAAGAACGAAGCCGAAGCATCCCACAGAAAGTCTGTGGCAGAGCTAGGAACCCGCCTCATTTGACCCCCGCTCCTGCATTTCAGCCAGGCGCTCCCGTGGCCATCAGTCTATGGGCACCGTATGTCCTATGTTCTTTGGAGCCGAAGTCTCTCCCTTGGTGGACAGTGGGAAATGCCAAGTCGGCTGGAGAGGCGCCAGCCCTGCCCACCCCAGCGCTGCAAACCCGCATCGGGCATCTGAGCAGGGCCGAGTCCCTGCAGCCCCCCAGAGGGGTGGGGGGCGTCGCTCAGCCTTCGCAGGGTCCGTCGCCTCCCGCACAGGATACCCTCCGCCCCCGAGCGCGGGACCCCCCCGGGACTGAGCCCTGCCGCCCCTCCCCCAGTGGGGCTAGGGCCCCTGGGCTGCCCCTCCCCCAGCTCTGTGCAGAGGGCAGCTGGCGGGGGGCTTGGGGGGGGGGTGATGCCGCTCAGCCGCCCCAGCCGCCAGCCACACCCCGAACCCGGGCGCGGCAGAGGCTTCGCGCCGCCCCCCCCTGCTCCCGTCCGCTCCTGAATGAAAAGGCGGCGGCACCTCCATTCTCCCCCTCACCTTTACCCGGCCCCTGGCGCAGCGCTACCGAACCTGACGCACGCGCCGGGCCGGGCCCTCCTTCTCGCCGCACCTCCCGAGCACAGGATAGGCCGAGAGGCGGTGCCTCCTTCCCAGCAAGGTAGGGTGCGCCCTCCCCGGCCACCCGCCCGCGCCCCACGGAGCATGCGCCCTTCGCCTCGGCCGCCTCCAGGGTTGGAGTTCCCTGCTGTGATTCTCTTTCTCGGGGCAGGAGCCCGGGAAAGGGACTACACGTCCCAGCATGCACCGCGAGGGCGCGTGCTCCTGGGCTGGGGCAGATCAGCGGCCGGGCGGTGCTGGGGGCTCGGGGCGCGCAGCCCCAGCGGGGCTCAGCCCACCTGGGCTCCCAGCGTTGGCTGGGGGGAGGCGGGATGGCTGAGATCGGTACCGTTTGGGCAGGGCCTTCGAGTGGCCTCAGCCTCCCTGCGGTGCTAGTTACCTGTCCTGCCATCTGCACCTCGCCTTTCATCCCTTCCCCAGGGAGCTAAAGTGCCTCCCGCCTTTCATAGGCTGCGCACAGACTGGGCGTCCCAAAGGCAGCTAGGCACCAAACCTGGCTACATTTCAGCGGCGAGAAAATGAAAAGTATCAGAGGGGGAGCCGTGTTAGTCTGAATCCGTAAAAAGCAACAGAGGGTCCTGTGGCACCTTTAAGACTAACAGAAGTATTGGAGCGGAAGCTTTCGTGGGTGAATGCCCACTTCATCAGATGCAAGCCTGATGCCTTGCCTCTGACGAAGTGGGTATTCACCCACGAAAGCTTACGCTCCAATACTTCTGTTAAAGGTGCCACAGGACCCTCTGTTGCTTTTTAAGAAAATGAAAGGACTAGTCGTCTACATGGGAGATGGGGAGTTTAGAGTCCCGACCACCACATTTCAGTTGTCTCCTACACAGACACCCAACCCCATAGAGGGTTGCCAGCCACCTTTCTAATCGCACAAAACTGAACACCCTTGCCCCGCCCCTTCTCTGAGGCTCCGCCCCCACTCACTCCATCCCCCTCCCGCCCTCACTCACTTTCACTGGGCTGAGGCCAGGGCCGGCTCTAGCTTTTTTGCTGCCCCAAGCAGCAAAAAAAAGCGCTGCCCCCCCCCAGCCCCCCCCGCCGAGTGCCGCCCCCCCCCCAAGCGCCGAGCCCCGCGCTGCCTCCCCGCTGAGCGCCGCGCCGCCGGAGCCCACCCCCGTCCCCCACCGAGCGCCGCCAGAACCCCCCTCCAGCGCCGCTCCCACGCCTCCCCCTCGCCGAGCCCCACGCATCCGGAGCCCGCCCTCCCAGCGCCGCACCACCGGAGCGCCCCCCCCGCGGAATGCCGCACCGCGCTCCCCCCACCGCCCCTTACCAGGTGCCGCCCCAAGCATGTGCTTGGGTGCCTGGTGCCTGGAGCCGGCCCTGGCTGAGGCAAGGGGTCTGGATGTGGGAGAGGGAGAGGGCTCCGGCTGGGGGTGCAGGCTCCTGGGTGGGGCCAGAAACGAGGGGTTGAGGCAGGGGTGAAAGTAGGCCGATACAGGCCTGTACAGCGTACCGGGCAAGAAGCCGGTACCAGCCGCGGCACCGCTTTAACATCGCTGCCCCTTTTGCCGCCTCCCCACCCCCCGTGTCGGTATCCCTTCCGGTAGGGACCCTACCGGCAGGGCCACCGACGGGGACAGGCGAAAGGGGCAGCTGCCCCGGGACCAGCAATTTAAAAGGTCCCAGGGTTCCCGGCCGCCGCAGTCACCACTGCCACAGTGGCCAGAGCTCTGGGTCCTTTTAAATCGCTGCTGGAGCCTCGGGCAGTGGAGCCTAGGGACTGCAGGGACTTGCCGGCCACTTTGAGGAGCTGCGTGGAGCCACAGCAGGAAAGGAGTCCCACTTTTAACGGCCCAATCAGTGGTGCTAACTGGAGCCATTGTCTGTCGAAAACCAGACACCTGGCAACCCTACCCCCATATATAATCACTTTTCTCCTCACCATCAGTTTTCATACTTCCCTCAGTATATTACTTCTTTTTGTAGTCCACTAATTCTTTCTCCCTATCAAATCTATACCTTCCTACAGTATTAGTCCTTGCCAAATTCCTCTTCCTACTCCCCATCTTCCTTGCCAGACTCTAATTTCCTGCTCCTGCCCCAGTCCCTTATTTCTCACACTTCCCCCTCACATTTCCTCTCCACAGTCCCTCAGCTCTCTCTCTCTCCCCCCCCCACCATCCCTTTGCTATTTTACTTTATTCCCACCTCCCTGCATCTTCATCTACCCTTCAATTAATAACCAAGAGTTTTGTACACTCCTCATTTCCACTAAGCAGATACGTGACTTTATGAATTTGCTATAAGATGAATTGTGAACTCCCTTCACTAATAAGCAATGCCTAAACAGCATGCCCTTCACAGAATACACTCTGGTCACTCAGCAATGAAGAAAATCTGTAGCATTCTGGGACTGTGCAAGAAAGAGAAGCAGAGCTAAGCCGGAGGGAAAAGGAAAATGAAGCAGGGTACAGATGCTCTTACATGGCATGTTTCCCAGACAAAGAGTAAGAAATCACATCACTGTTTGCCACATAAGTTAATGTTGCTCAAATTCTCCTACGCGGCCTCCAAATCCCAGTGGAGAGAGCAGAAGCATGCAGCAGCAGGCAGGGAACCAATAGCAGAACAGCAAGTGACCTAGCTCAGCTGCCATTTTCAGAGGGCAGTGCAGGGAGGCAAGGACGTGCACATATTGTCTGAGATCACCAGGATTTCAGCAGTTATCTACACATCCTTGACATACATGTGCTTTGAAGGGACAAGATGGGTGCGGTAATATATTTTATTGGACCAACTTCTGTTGGTGAGAGAGACAAGCTTTTGAGCTTACACACAAAGAGCTTTTCTTTAGGTCTGGGAAATGTACTGTCACATGCTAAATAATCGGTTTCACCTTGTATTTAGCTGTCACTCAGTATATTTCCCAGACCTGAAGAAGAGCACTGTGCAAGCTTGAAAGCTTGTCTCTCTCACCAACAGAAGTTGGTCCAATAAGAGATATTACCTCACCCACCTTGTGTCTCTAACATCCTGGGACCAACACAGCGACAACAATACTGCATATGTGCTTTGAAGGTCATGGCCATTGTCCCTTGTATGCAGTGGGATGATGCGCATAACTAAAAACTTGTCAAAACCTCAGATCTCTTTATGTATTTCTTCACATGCACTAATTTATTTGTGAAAGAGGAATAGATTCATACATATGATCCACTCTTTGATCCTGAAACATATGACTCTCATGAACTACCCTTCCCAAATCACAGGAATATAGGAATTATCATACCAGATCAGACTAGTGGGCCAACTAGTTCAGTATCCTGTCTCTGACAGTGGCCAGATGCTTCAGAGGAGGGTGCAAAAACTCCATCGTGGACATTTATGGAATAAACCACCCAGAGACGTTTCTTCTTAAATACTATCCATTATTGGTCGTCTTATGCATTGAAGTATAAAGTTTTATATCCCTTCTGAAAATAAATGGTATTCTTTGCTTCTTTTTTTTCTGGCCCAGTAACTTACTCGATATATTATCCTTTGTATAAAGTAGTTCTGTCTGAGTTCCCTAATTATTTTAAAAATTAAGGAACTGATCCTCTACCCTTACTCACTAGAGTAGTCCCAATGGGACTATTTACATGAGTAAGCTGAAGGACCAGTCCCTACATTTCCTGGGTTGTAGATTTTGTCCTGTGGGGGAAAAATATCTCTATATACCTTTCAGAAGTTTGAAAACAAGGACTCTGGCCCACCCTAACTCAGTGTCTCAAGAAGGAGTAGGGGTCATAATGATTCCAGGGACCCTCTCTTTTTTGGTCTTCTTTTTATTTGTTTAAAATTATAAAATGTTCACATTTTAGCTGCCTATAAATTCTGCATTCACTCTTGTAGTTGAGAAAGCAAGCAGGCACCTCCTAGGCTGCATAATCACTCCATGAATGGCCTAAAGAGAATGCAATGTTGCATCCACGTCTGCGCTTCCTCCTTCTCTGTCTGGAAAGCCAAATGTCTCTTACACAACACCTTCAGCCCCGACAGTGCCATCCCTGAAGCCCTACAACTTAACCATCCTTCAACTCGCCAACGACTAAACTGGACACAATTTTGACTGGTAAGAAGAGCCACAGATTTTCTGTTCAGGTTTTAATGAACACATTATTGTTATTATTGGTTTTATTATTATTCATTTATAAAATACCAACAATTTGCTATACAAATAATAAGGAGTGGGCCAAATCCTGGCCCACAGTGCTGCTTTGCACTGTTCCGGGGGTGCAAAGCAGCTATCAAACCAGCTAAACTGATTTACCCTGGCCTAAGGGGTGAGGCTGGGGAAAATTAAGGTGTGGCCAGTGCACTGCTGTGCCCTGGAATGGTCACTTTGCAATTGGTGCAGCTAGTAGGCTTGAGGCTGCTCTAAGTTCCTCCTTGGGACTGGACAAACAACCTGAAGATAAGGTCGATGCAAAGATGGCATTACAGGCCCCAGCCCTATTAGCAATAACCATTACAAATGGTTGGTTCTGAGGATCTGTCCTATTTAGTTAATTACAGTCTGAATGGGAAATCAGTGGCACCTCCTACCAATTAAAGAGCGTCATTAACAGGCTCCAAGCCTCCAAATAGTATCAGACTCTTATTCAAATGTTTATCAGCTTTCTCTGCTAGCTAAGCTGTAGTTCACTTTGTACAGAGGTCTGTTGGGAAGCAGAAGGTTAAAT